ACGAGTTATTTTTTACGAAAAATAACGGTAACGGTAACGCGTTACTTTTTTAAAGTTCCCAACTCTGCATGTAACGTAATTTTAACTAGCACCATTGGATTCCTTGTCACAAAAATTATACTAAGAAACTATATTAAGAAATAATGTCAATTTTATTCTCCGCAAGTAAGGTAAGAATCGGCCTTTTCGTAACACCCTTTTTTGAAAGAGTCAGAATAGAATAGTAAAATTATTTTACGAAAACAAGTAGACTTAAGTCAGTGTATAAAATTGAGAAGTCAAACGGAAAATTAGTCAGTCAAAAGACAAGATAACATATGATAGACATATGATAAGACATATGATAGACATATGATAAGACAAGATATGATAACATTGGCCCTTTTTCTTGATACTTCTAATTTATATCATTGAAAAATTGTTTGACCCACATTGTTTTTGTCGTGGCAGCAGAAGCTGCTATAAATTCCGCTTCATGAACAAAGCTACACTATTCTGTCTTTGACTGACAAATAATCATATATAGTATTATTTTTTATTAAAATATAGCTTGTGGTTGAACGTTTAGTAGCAGAACATCCTGTGTAGTTTGCATCAAAATATACTTTAATGTTACCTTATTTCTGTTATAATCTAACCTAATCTGTAGTGTTTTGTGCCTTTTAAATATTTGATGATTTGTATTACAGCGTTTCAATGTATGTTGCTATAGCAATTCACAAATCTATTGACTGTGCCTACAGCAAACATTATATTTGGACGGTTCATTGTTGTTAACAATAAGTAGATCAGAGAGCCAACAGCCTCTCTATATGGAATAGCTTCTTTTCGTGCCTTTTTCGTTCTTACAAGCCACAATACACATCCTGATCAGTTGGAATAATTACTATCTTTGCATCTGCTAAATTGAATTTTCTTATTACTTGCTCTATGTATGCCTCTTGATGAATTATAATACAAATACTTTTATCCTCTGGATCTCTTTCCATCCGTAAGCCAATGTGATTTGTAGGATTTATACTATACGTCATGTCAAAGTGATGATAAATCCTTTATCACAAATTAGAGAATCTTTATTTTCTAATATTAACAATCCGTCGTCCACAACAAAAATACTGAAGCGCCTCTTTCATATTTTTATTCAAAAACACACTGGTCTGCATTGCACTATTTGAAGCCATATTTTTTCAATATGCTTTTAAACTTATAATTTCAACATCTAGGAGCTTGTTTGAGTCTGTATATGGACTTTTTCAGTTTTCACACTAGTCTAGGAGCAACACTTAGCCCTTGAGGCGGAGACATGTACATAACCTCTTCTGGTTTACCATGTATAAGAAAATTATTTCTATGTCGAATTGGGCTATCATAATTTTTTTTCTGCTGCAACTGAGCTAAGAGCAGAATCCGAATGGAGTACTGTACTGTAGGTACAAATGTTTTACTAATCTGCACCTTCTTTTTGTGAATAACCTTTTGTACAGAGCCCTGACTTGAAATGTATTGTACTGTCTTCTTCTACTCTAAAGACCCAGTTTGAGCCAACTATATTGACGTTTTCTGAACAATCCACGTGTCGTTTACTTCATGAACTTTTAATTCCTTTCGAATGAATTTATTCCATTTTGTTTCGTTCTTTATACATCACTGCTTCTTCATGTATATGTTTCTAGTACTTTAAATTCTACTATATTGACTTCAAATCTTGTAGGAAGTTTCAATGTGCTTCTAGGTTTAATCCAAATACTTTTTACCTAATGTCAGATTCTTGCTCTTCTCTTGATTTTTGACATCATTCATTCTTTATCTTCTTTGAATCAGTATTTTTCTCAATAAAGTTATCTTATTCTTGCTTATTTTCAATATCACTATCGTAGTTTTCAGCTTCAATATTGATCTTATAGTATTCTATTTCTTTTTTAAAAACATTTGTTTCATCTTCCTTAAAGATATAATACGTCTTGAAACTATAATCTTCCTTATTTTAATATCAAACAATCTGTAATTTTTTGAATTGCTTTCATAATCTATAAAGATTTTTTTTTTTCTGATCTAGCTTCGTTCTTCTTTCTTTGAGAATATGTACGTAGACTGTTGAACCAAAAAGTCTTGCGTGTAGAAGAGTCGATTTCTTCTTCGTTCATTTCTTATACGGAGTGATGTGGCTTTTATAAGGAGTACAACTCATATAAGGCATATTCAGAAAGTAAGGTTACAACATTTTACAAAAATTAAAAAATGAATATTTATTAATAAAACTTGTATAAGATATTACACCAGTAAAGCACTATTTTTCCACGTAATTTTCATTCCGTTTCAAACATTTGATAAGCCGTGGTATTAACTTTTGCATTTCTATGTCACATGTTTCTGCCGCCACACCTTTCTTGACCATTCACACACGGCGTCCTTCACCTCTTCGTCAATAGAAAAACGTTTTCCGCCCATGTGCTCTTTCAACAGGGTGAAAAGAAAAAAAATCATTTGGTGCTAGGTCGGAACTGTAGGCAATATGGTTCAGAATATCCTAACCAAAATTGTTGAGGAGATCGATCATTTTACGTTGGGATATTCTGAACCATCCTGCCCATAATTCCGACCAAGTGACTTTTTTCTTTTCATTCTGTTGAAAGAACACCTGGACGGAAAACGTTTTTCTACTGACGAAGA